CGCGAAAGACCCCCCTCGCAGGGCGCGGAGCCCGGCCACGGCACGTCCGAGGCCCGCCGCGGCCGTCTCGGCGGCGGCGTGCGGCGTCCAGCGGCCAGCGGCCTGCCAGCGGCGGCTGGCGGCCGACGGTCGGCGGCGCGGCGGTGCGGCGGCGGCGCTCGGCGGCGGCGCGGCGGCGGCGCGGCGGCGCGGCGGCGGCGATGTGCCCTGAGCTCCAGAGTTTTTCAGGGGCAGCGATACGATGCGGTGTGCCGTCTGTCGCTTTCGCTTTTTTTGGGCCTTCTCGGAGGCCTTCGTCGCCACTGCTGGATTCGCCTCGTCGTTCTGGTCGGAACGCACCCTGGGAGAGCTCCGGAGCGCACGATCGGACTGAGGTAAGATCGAGGTGGGTTCGGGAGGGTGCCCTCATGTTCTTCGTGCTTGTTTTGGATGCTTTTCTGCATCCTGGGGGAGGGTACCCTCGGATGTTCTCCAGTTTGGCCAGCGAAGGGTCTCATGATCCTGAATTGTGTTTTCCTGTCCTGGATCCGCCCCTGGGTGTGGATAGGAGGGTTGGACGTGGGTTCGACGAGGAACAATTCGGTTTGCGCAGAGCGTTCCGGGACGCTTTTAGATCGTTCCAGAACGCTCTGAGAAGGCCGCGGCGCCCGAGACATCCTCCACTGCGGCCGGATATCAGGGCTTCCGGATTTGTCCTCACCCGATTGTTTTCTCGCCTTTGCTTCGTCTTATGGGGGGGGATGCATCGACCCCCAAATCGTCCCCTCCTCGCCGACAGGGGCCCGGTAGCCCAAGGCCGCCCAGGAGTGTGTGGATCCACCCTCGGTGGCCCATCGCCGCTCGCTCGGCGGTGTGTCGCCGATTCCAGGTCGATGTTCCTCCCGAGAAGGCCAGCCCACGATTCACAAGTGATGCCCCCCCCCTCCTCCTCCAGTTGTTTCCTCCCTTCTTTGAGAGCGAAGACTGCAGGTTCTCAGAACCTGGCTTGACATCTTCTGGCATTGTTGGTGTGTACGAAGGAGTCCCATAATATAACCTGACGCAGTGTATCTTTGCATTCAAGAGGTACGCGTGGTGTTTTCGCACAGTCGGGAACAGAGGTGTCGTTCGTGACAGCGTCGGCCTGCCCCGTGTGGTTGGTTGTGGCAGGTCCTGAAGAGGATCGCCGACCACACGCCGAAACGCTGGAGACGGACTGGACCAGGGGTGCCCGAAAGAGGGGGCATACTCAGTCCTAGGCCAGAAAGGAGACCAAAGGAAGTTGCGCAGTCAACTGCTTCTCGGCGACAGTGGCGCTGCATAGCCGCTGCCAGGCGAGCCTGAGGCGGGTGTACAAAGAATGCCTTCTATGTTGCATTAATATGGATATGCTTGGCAAGCGACTGGTTATCAGCCGAATGTCTCTCTAGGAGCTCGTCTTCGGTGGCGCGGCCTTTTTCCCAACAGCCACAGAGGTAGCAACGGTGGCTTTACCAAAAAGGGGGGCTTCGCAGGTGCGCTCTGATTGTGCACGAGCGCTTAACGCAGGGGTCGGGTGGCTCACACCCCTGGGCCGTGGTTAGTGTCCGCTCAAGGAAATGGGGGCAATCGCCAGGTTTAGCTGCGGTTGCCGGCGGTGTCACGAAAGAGGGTGCAGTTGTTTCTTCCCTTTTACGAAGGCCAAAACAGCAGGTTCTCATAGCCTGGTTTGACATCGCCTGGCCATTTTGGGGTGCACGAAGGAGTCCCAAAATACAGCCAGACACAGTGTATCTTTGCATTCAAGAGGTACGCGTGGTGTTTCCGCACAGTCGGGAACAGATGTGTCGCTCGTGACAGCGTCGGCCTGCCCCGTGTGGTTGGTTGTGGCAGGTCCTGAAGAGGATCGCCAACCACACGCCGAAACGCTGGAGACGGACTGGACCAGGGGTGCCCGAAAGAGTGGGCATACTCAGTCCTAGACCAAAAAGGAGACCAACGGAAGTAGCGCAGTCAACTACTTCTGGGCGGCCCTGGCGCGGCATAGCCGTTGCCAGGCGAACCTGAGGCCTGTGTGCAAAGAGTGCCTTCGATGTTGCACTAATATGGATATGCTTGGCAAATGACTCCCTACCCCATGCACCCTTCAGAACTCCTCCTACAATCCTCCCAAAGCAGACTCCTCCAAATCTTACTATACTCATCCTAACGCATCCTCCTCAGAATTTCATCATCACTACGCATCCGGTCGACTCCGCCGCCTCTTCCTATCCGGCTCCTCCTCCTCCTCCTCCTCCTTCCGCCTCCTCTCCCTCTTCTATCCTTCCTCCTTACCCCTTCCTCCTCCCTCTCCTCCTCCTCGCCCACCTCTCCCACCTTTCCCCCTCCTCCCCCGTCCGTCCTCCTCCTCCCCCGCCCTCCTCCTCCTCCTCTTCCTCCTCCTCCCTACCTTTTCGTTTACTTCCTCCTTGCTCCTCCCCCTCCTCCTCCTGTTCCTCCTCCTCCTCCTCCTCCTCCTCCTCCTCCTCCTCCTCCTCCTCCTCCTCGTCTTCGAGGCGTCACCCCGCGGGGCGAGACTTTTCCTTGAATCGCGCGCGCCAGTGCCCGGAGAGCTCGGGGAGCCACCGCGCCGCGGATGTTGGCAACCTGCATGACGCTTCTGTCGCGTGCTCGCTGGCGCCCGGGCGTTGGCGCTAATCACAGGCGCCGCCGCCGTTGTTTCCTAATCTGGCAGGCGCCGCCCCGCGACCCGCCCGAGCAAGGAAACCATTTTTTGACGCGCGCGCCCCCGCGGATTTGTTGACCACGAAGCTAACATTATGCCGGTCCTCCCTGGTCATTGCTCCTCGGTTGTATGTCCGGCCTGTCCTTTGCACAGGGGGAAGATTCCGCTGGAGGCGATGCTTTTTTTTTTTTTTTTTTTTTTTTTTTGTTTTTTTTCCCCGGGGGGGGGCCCGACCGAACGACCGAACCTCAGCTCGTGAAACTTCGAGGTGGCGGCTGTTCTTCGCGTTCGGCCTGCCGGGGGCCTTCGCCGGGCCCCGGGGCTGTCCGCAAAACGCGGGGCAGGGGCGGGCGCCGGTCCCGGTGAGAGGGTCGGAGCGTCGGGGGGCCGCGTGCCGGAAACGTCAAGGTTCAAGCAGTGGCGAAGCGTCCTGGCTCGCCCATAGCCTTACCCAACAATGCTCTAGGAGCCTTTTGTGGTTCCCACGAAATGTTTTTAAAACGTTTCTGGCGGAATCCGTCTTGGTTTAACACATCAGGTTTACGTTCTAAGAACATGGTTTGTGTTCTTAGAACATCCTTGGGTTCTTAAAGCATTTCGTGGTAGGAGTATAGGAATGCCGGGACGGTCGATCCCTGCTCAAAAGTTATCGGATGTGTGTCGGGGGCAGCGAAGAGGGGGTGATGACCAGGGGGGTGGATATCATGGCGTGGGCCGTGATATTTCTTCAAAATTCATGGCGCCTCTTCCTTCATTGCGTCCCTGGCCCCCCCTTTGAGCCGCGCACGTGTTGCCGGCCATGATTTGCGCCCCCCCTCGTGGACGCCCCCCTTTTGGCTGCCCCCGAGTGTGGCAGACGCAGCAATCCGCGTCAGCGTCGCGTTGCCGAGCACGCCGTTGCATCGCGCTGATGGTGGCGCCGCCCTCCCCACCTGCGCGCCCTTAAGTCGGGCGTGTCCTTCTACAGGAGGAATCTTCGAAAGTAGTCAAAGAATAGTATGGGGGACGAATTTTCTAGTATTTCTTGGCCGGTTTTGGATATTGTTTGGCTGTTTCATATTCGTCGTCCAAAATCCGCCCGTAGGGGGCATGCCCGACCGAAGTATCGCGTTGCCGAGCACGCCGTCGCATCGCGTTGATGGTGGTGCCGCCCTCCCCTCCTGCGCGCCCGTTCGCTTCATTTATAGTTATTCAGGAGGTTTGCGCCAGTCCGCCGACCCCCAGACGAGGCGGGGATCGGGGGTGGACAGAACCCCCCTTCCAGACACGTCGATTGTTGAATTGTCCGTTGTCGGTTTTTCCACATGGCGCCAGGCCTGTCATTTCCCAGGCTTGCGCCCGCCAGGTTTGGGCCCGAGGTCGTTTTCACTAAACCATGTTTTGCTAAAAGGGTTTCTGTCCCTTCCCGAGGGGAGTCCACGGTTGAAGCGTCGTGGGTTTCTTGGGCGCCAGGTGGGGACTTTTGCATCTTGGACGCTGTCTGGGGTCCCGGCGAAGCCTCTTGGCGGCAGTGTGAAAACACTCGCCCTCTAGCTTGCTTTACTGCCCTCGACCATGCATGCTTCCCCCCCCGTCCTCCTCTCCCCCTTGCGTGACCACTCGCGTCCCTCCATCCCCTTCCCCTTCCCTCATCCCCCCTGTGCAGCAACTCTCTCAGTTCCTTTTGTTCGTTTCTCTCTCTCTCTCTCTCTCTCTCTCTCTCCCTCTCTACAATTACTCAATATGAATAATACTTTCCCTCTTCCCCCGATGGCGGCCTGAAAGTAGCCGACCCCCCCCCCGCGTCCTGCTTTTTTACACAGGATTCCCGGGAGTTGGGTTTTCGGCTGCATTTTTTTTCAAAATGCTGCTCTCGCCGGCGCCAGCTTCATTTTCGGGCCCCGCTCGTTCCGAATCGTGCTCCCGCTGCAGCGCTGGCCTCATTTCCGTGCTTCCGCTCGTTCCGAATCGTGCTCCCGCTGCAGCGCTGGCCTCATTTCCGCGCTTCCGCCCGTTTCGACTCGTGCTCCCGCTGCAGCGCTGGCGTCATTTCCCGTGCCATGCCATAGCACGCGCACACACGCACACACACACACACCACCACCACCACCACCACCACCACCACCACCACAACCACAACCACCACCAGCACCACCACCACCACCAGCACCAGCACCACCACCACCACCACCACCACCACCACCACCACAACCACGCACACACGCGCGCACGCACGCACGCGCACCACCACCCACTAGTCCGCGGATAGAGGAAATCAGCGCCATGGTAAGGGATGGGAGGGAGGGGTAGGACGTCAGATATGACGCGCGCGCACCTAACTTGCCCTCTCCCCCTCTCCCTCTCCCTCTCTCTCTCTTCACACTTGTATACATATAATGGCGCACCAGGGCCAGGGCCCCCGGGGCCGCGACCTCTACCACAAATGTGGGTATGCAGGCGCTTGGGCGGCCCCAGAGGCCCACAAGGCGCCACCAGAAAGCGCCAAGAGAGCCCGAAGACGCTCCAAGAGAGACCCGAGACGCCCACAGGCCGCTGCAAGCATATTGATTGTTTTCGCTGTCGTACCGTTCTTGACGACCTCAGAGGCTCCCAAGACCGTCCCAAGACCGCCGAAGAGGCGCTCCAGAGGGCCCCAAGACGGCCCAAGAGGGCCCCAAGACGGTCCAAGAAGCGCCCAAGACGGCCCAAACGGGCCCCCAAAGGGGCCCAGGAGGAACCCAAGATGGGGTCCGTAGCCATTTTGGCTCAAGCCATTTTGGCTCCATTTCGCGCTACCTGACCCGGGAGACCCCTGCCGTCCTTCCCGCTCGACCCGGCCCCCCCTCCCTTCGCCGCGCTGCCTCCTTGCCGGCCAACTCCCGCCGCGGATGGCGGCCTTTGGCTCCCCCGCGTCCGCGGCGTTCGCCGCCGCGCGGCCGTCTGCCCTGGCGCGGTCGCAGCGCGCAGGGCCGCCCCCCGCGCAGGCCGCCGCGCGGGGCGCCCACCGCGAGAAGCCGCCGGCCGCGCCCGCGGTGCTGCTCGGTGCGGCGGCGTGCGCCGCCGCCAGCATCGCGCGGCCGCGCACGCGGCGAACGCGCATGCGACTGGCACCCCGCGCGGAGATGGAGGCGCATGCCATGGCGAACGCCACGGACCGGTCCGAGGCGAATCCTGGAAAAGTGGTGCAGATGGCACAAGATGTTGGCCTGAAGCTCGACGTTAAGCCCTGGGAGTTCCTCTCCTCAATCGCGAAGGAGGCATCGCGCAGCTGGTTCATCAAGCGAGCGGAGGATCGCGGTATCCAGTGGACTGAGAGCGTGCAGCTGATGAGCAGTCGCCAGGCGGAGCTGGACCGCCTGTTCGAGCAGGTGCGCGATCCCGAGCTGCAGTACCCGGCCTACTACACCCAGCCTTTCCACGGCTACGACGACGGCAACCTCAGCTGGAAGGCCGCGCACGAGCTGGAGGCCGCCACGCAATCGATGTGCCTCGGCTATTACCAGGCCGAGACGACGTGGGAGGAGGCACAGGAGAGGTTCCGCGGCTCCGCTCGCGTGGCAATCGCGGACAGGTGGCGCCAGGCACAGGGCGTGGCGGAAGCAGTTTCGGCACCGCCGCCCACGAGGCTCCTCGACGTAGGCTGCAGCGGCGGCTTCTCGACGCGGCAGATGGCGGACACGTTTCCGGGCGTTCGGGCCACGGGGCTCGACCTGAGCCCTTACTATCTGGCCACGGCAAAGAGCACGTACCCAGATCTGGAGTTTACCCACGGCCTCGCGGAGGCCACAGGGTTTGAGAGTGGACTGTTTGACGTGGTGACGTTCAACTTCCTCTTACACGAGCTACCTCGCGAGGTCAGCATCGAGGCTCTCAGGGAAGCATACCGGGTGCTCGCGCCAGGTGGGGTGATCGCGGTGTTGGATGTCGACCCGATGAGGCTGCTGGAGCTGCCACCATTCCGCCGCTGGGCCTTCCAAGTGACGGAGCCGTGGTGCAAAGACGGCGAGTATTATGCTCTTAATGTTGGTGAGGAGTTGCAGAAGCTGGGGTTCGTCGATGTGGTTTCCACCTCGAACGATCCAGTGAACTCCCTCGTGCTCGCGACGAAGACGAAAGTCTCGTGATCGAGCAGACGGCAGAGCTGCAGGTGGAACGATATTCGGGATCTTTACCCAGTTCGAAGCCTTCAATCGAAGAATTGCTAAGGTTTGAACTCATGTCTGCGTGAGGTTGTGTTGACTTACAGTAAGTGAAGCATCCTCATTCATGTACACATTCTTCGACCAAGAGGTCGTATTACTTCTGGCCCAGCGTATTTAATTTGCTTTTGGGTAGTTTACAGATTTTAATACACCCAGTAGGGTCGCACGCGCAAGTGGCATTAGAGGGTTGCCCGCCTAAGTGGGGGCAGCCCAGTTCCGTATGACACAGTTGACCGTGTTGCATGGTTTTGTCGGCATTTGCCGCTCAACGCAGTAGTTCGACAGTGACGATTTCGCGCTGCGCGCAATTTGGACGCAGTCTGGCCGAACGTCATCAAGTTTTCGAGCTCGACCATGGTTTTTGTTGGTGAGCTTCTGTACAAATTGTCGCGGATCGCTCAGCGCGTACAGACACGCGATATTCGCAGCCCTCGGCTGGAACAAAAAAAAACGAGAGGAACCCAAGATGGGGAAATCCAACTGACATTTTGAGCCCCCCGCCCCAAGAGGACCCCCGAGGCCCGCAAGAGGCCCCCAAGAAGCCCCCAAGAGGCCCCAATAGGCCCGCAAGATGCCGAAAGAGGGAGCCCCGAGGAGCAAAAATCGTCCCATCCCCTTCGGAAAACGAAGAATTCTGTGAATATTCCCCTGATTCGCCTTCACAGCGTCCAAGACGGCCCCAGAGGTCCCCAAGAGAGTTCCAAGACGTCCCAAAAAGCGCCCAAACCCCCAAGAGGCCACCAAGACCGCTCCCAGCGGGGGTCTCGGACGAAGGCTCCGAATGGATTTTGCCGCGCTTGCGCTGGAGAGGCCCCCAGGAAGCTCAAGGAAGTCCCCAAGAGGTCCCTCAGAGGTTTCCGGAGACCCCCCAAGAGACCCCAAGACAGTCCAAGAAGCGTCAAGGCGCCCCAAGAGGCCTCCAGAACGCCCCCTGAGGGAGCCCCAAGGGCCAAAAATCGCACAATTCCTTTAGGCAGTATTCTATGTTCGCATATTCGCCCGATTCGCCTTCCCAGCGTCCAAGACGGCCCCAGAGGTTTCCGAAAAACGCCCCAGAGGTCCCCCAAAAGCGTCCCAAGCCGCGCCTCGCACGCTAGACGGCTGCTTGGGGAGGGTTCGGGGAGGGGAAAGCCGTTTAATTCCAATAGTAAAATCGCACACGTTCAGTACATGTGATGCTTCTGTTTTCCGATGCTCCAAGACGGCCCAAGAGGCCTGCAAGTCTGCCTCCACACGGCGGCAAAAGACCTGCTAAAGATCCGCCGGGTGGACCAAGAGGTCTCCAAGACGGGCCAGGAGGCGTCCAGAACGATCAAGGAGAGCCCCAAGACGGCTCCGGAGGCCAAACGAACAAGTCGAACCTTCCGCCCCAAGATGCCCTCAAGAACTCGCAATAGGCTCCCAAGAGGCCCCCGAGAGGCCCCAAAAAGCTCCCCACGACGCGCCTCGCACGCTAGACGGCCGCTAAGGGAGGGCTACGGGAGAGGAACATCGTCAAATCCCGATGGAAAACGTGCAGTTCCAACATGCACAATTTGTCTCCTTCCGAGACGGCTGAAGATGCCCCCCGAGACAGCCGTCAAACGGCCCACGAGATCCCGCAAGAGAGGCCCCAGGCGGCCCAAGAGGGCTTCAAGACGGCCCTGAAGGCGCCCAAGAAGGCCGAGGAGACGCCGAAGACGGTTCCAAAAGGGGCAGGCCAAACGGACAGTCCGTTTCTTCCACACCAAAATGCCCTCAAGAGCTCCCAAGAGACCCCGAGAAGCCCCGAAGAGCCCTCCAAGACGCGCCTCGCACGGGAACAACGACAACGATGGACGACGGCGAGGACGAGAGACGACACCGACGACACGGTCGAAAGACGACGACGGCAACGACGATTGACGTTCGACGACGAAGACGAAGAAGAACGACGACGGCGACGACCACAACGACGACGACGACGCCTGGTATCGGAGTTCCGTAGCAGTTTTCCACGTGGTTCTCCCAGACAAGTTTTGTGGACAGGTCTGGTTGGGTCAGGTCAGGTGTTCACGCTCGCCGTTGCGCTCCTCGTCGAGTCCTTGCACTGCGACTTCCGTGGCCAAGACTAGAACCTAAGCGCGCGCGAAGTGCGCGTGGTTCTAGTATATAATTTTATATATATATATGTGTGTGTAATGAGATCTGATCTTTTCTCATGCCCTTCCCCACCCCCTGTGGCAAGAGCCGATATTCATCTTCCAGCTGACAGAGGTGGACTGGCGCTGCCCCCCAGGACGGGGCAGCCGCCGCGGCGCGGTCCCACCCTGCCCCCCCCCCCGCGTCCTTCTCCCCCGCCGCTGCCGCTCTGGCCAGGAGGCCGTGCCGCGCGCCCAGGGGGGGCGGTCCTCCCGCGAGCGCCCCCGAGCACCGACCCATGGCGCGGGCCCCTCGGGATGCCGGGCGGTCGGCCGGGGCCTCGACCGAGCGTCTCCTCCTCCGCGGCCGCGATCAAGGAGTGCGGCGGCACGTCGCGGTGGAGCGCGGCACTGAGCCTGCTCCGGGAGGCATGCCGACGGCCCGCGGAGGCCGAGCCCCGCCTCTACGTCGTGGCCGCCGGCGCGTGCGGGAGGGGCGGGCAGTGGCAGTGGGCGCTGTCTCTGCTCGGCGAGCTGTGGGAGGCGGAGGTGCAGCCCGACGCCATCAGCTGCAGTGCCGGGATCGGCGCGTGCCAGAAGTGCGGGCAGTGGCAGAGGGCACTGCGGCTGCTCGGAGAGATGCGGGAGGCGAAGCTGGAGCCGGACGTCCTTTCAGAGGAGTCGCCTCTTGGCGGCTTCGTGAGTCCCAAGAGATTGCCAGACGCGGTTGGGAATCTCTGCCCTTCGTCCTGCCGACCGACCACCCGCGACCGCGACGACGACCCACGTCGACGCCGACGACGGCGACGACAACGACGACGACTCACGACTCCTGGGATGACGAAGACGAACACGAAGACGAAGACGACCCCAAAAAATCAGACGTCATGGAAGCATTGGAACACGTTGAAGAACCTTTGCCAGAGCCCTGGACCCCAGCTTTTCCGCCCCATTTCTCGAGCCGGATCCCTCCCTTCGGAGAGCCGCGGAGGCCTCCCGGAGGCCCCCGCATGCTCTCGGAGGGCCAGCGGAGGCTCTCGAGGGCCTTGCCAGCGCCCGTCGCCGCCGCCATCGTCGTCGGGCGTTGCCGGGAGGGGCCCTGGCCCGACCCCCGAGGTCCTGGCGCCGCCCCTGCTGTGCCACGGGCGGCCTCGCCCTGCCGGAGGTCCGCGGCTCCAACGACAAACTCCAGAGGCCCCTCCTCCCTCCTCCCTCCTCCCCCCCCCCTCCTCCCCCCTCCTCCCTCCTCCCTCCTCCTCCCTCGACGGGTCCTGGGACCGTCAGTTCACTGCTCATGATTCGGGGAAACGTAAGACTCGAGTAAGAACTCGGGTTTGCGGGCGTTTTCTGACGTGCGCGTCCTGGATCTTGACGGTCCAGTTTTCGTGGGATGTTTGCAGCGGGAGCCCGCGTCGAATCTCAGACTGGGTCGCGCCATTTTTATGATGGCCCCGTCGGGCCAACCCGAGTCCCCCTAACCCGAGTTTTACGTCTCCCCGAAGGATGAGAATCGGGCCTATGGAGTCGACGACCGACGCTCGATCCATACCACTGCTGCTGCCCCCCACTCCGGGCGCCTAGGGGAAGCAGGGCATGGATAAAAGAAGTTGCTCCGGAGGCCAGAATCTTATGCATGCCGTCGCTCTACCCCCGCGTGGGGTCGGAGCGTGAGCAGGAGCACGGACAACATCGGCGCCACTCAAACAGACTAGTACTATGTGTGCGTCGCCCGCAACGGGGCGACGCGAGCGCCGAGGAATCTTCTATTGTAAGCTCCGTGGCGGGCACCTTCTGGCCATACTGCTCGGAAAGCGACATACTACAAGATGCTTGTATTATCTGTTCGGATCGGACGCATTATCTGTTCGGATCGGACGCGTGCCTCTGGTATGTCCCTGCGCGTCCCATAACATGGCGGCGGCGAGCCCGGCGGAAAGTGAGAAGGGGCAGGCCTCCTCAGACGGCTCGGAAGTCCCCCGGCCTCCGAAGAAGTTCTCGAAGCCCCCCCCCCCGAAGATGCAGAAGTCTTCTCAGGAGGCGCGAGGGCTCCCGAGAAGCGCCGCCGCCTTCTGCCACGGCCTCCTCCTCGCTCTCCCCCCCCTCGCTGAATGCCGAATGGAGATTTCTGGATCGTCACATCGCTCGGGTCTCCCGCGGCCGCTCGGGACGATCCGGGCCCCCCCCCGGAAGGCCCTCGGCGAGGCGCGGGTGCTGGCAGGCGTCTTGGTGCAGGGCAATCGCCGAGATCCGACGCGAACGCCGGAAAGCCTGGAGCCTCGAACCCCAAACTTCCCCCCCCTCCCGCTCGCTCGCCGCCGAAAGTGCCGATCGCCCAGGGGGGTCGCCCAGACCTCCCGGGTGGGGGGGGGGGCGCCCACGTCACGAGCAGAGACTGGCGCGTCGCGGGCGTGTCTGGGCGGGGTCTCGGGCCTGGGGTGACGTCTGGCCTGTCCCCCTACGGGAGGCATGTCCAGAAATGGCATTGACGAATATAACATCGGGGTACAGTGTTTTGTGTGTATGTGCGTGCGTGCGTGCGTGTGTGTGTGTGTGCGTGCGTGCGTGCGTGCGTGCGTGCGTGCGTGCGTGCGTGCGTGCGTGCGTGCGTGCGTGCGTGCTTACGTGCGTGCGTGCGTGCGTGCGTGCGTGCGTGCGTGCGTGCTGTGCGCATCTTTGGAGAATGTTTGGGCATCTCTGACCTTTTTGCACACTCGTCGGCCGAGATCCGCCTGCAGGGGGACGTGCCCGACCTATAGCCGGAGGCCCCCGCGGAGCCCTCTCGGCCTGCGGCCCCCGAGGGGGGTGCCGCGGGACGGGCTCTGCCGGGGGGGGGGGGGGGCAGAGAACACGGGCGCAGACACGGGATCGTCGTTTGGCTCCTCTCTGTTCCTGCCGATCGGCGTGGGCCCTCGCACCCTCCCCCCTCCCCCCCCTCCTCCTGCCCCTGCTCCTCCTCCGCCCCCCCCTCCTCCTCCTGCTTCTCCTCGTCCTCCTCGTCATCCTCATCCCCCCCCAATCCATGAAGTTCATCCTCATCCCCCCCCCCCACGCTCCGCCCTTGCCCGCGCCTCTCCCCCCCTGGGATAGAATCCAGACCGGTTCGCCCGTGCAGCTCAGTTACAGCGCCGGGATCAGCGCCTGCGAGAAGGGCAGGCAGTGGCAGCATGCCATGTCGTTGATCAGCATGATGCGGGATGCGACGGTGGAGCCCGATGCCATCAGCTACAGCGCTGGCATCAGCGCGTGTGCGAAGGGCGAGCAGTGGCAACGGGCTCTGTCGCTGCTCGGCGAGATGCGGGAGGCGCAGTTGGAGCCCAACGTCGTCGGATGCAACGCTGGGATCAGCGCGTGCACGGAGGGCGGGCAGTGGCAGCAGGCTCTGTCGCTGCTCACCAGCATGGGGAGGTCGAAAGTGGAGCCGGACGTCATCAGCTACAGCGCTGGCATCAGCGCGTGCGAGAAAGGCAGGCAGTGGCAGCATGCTCTGGCGCTGCTCTGCGGCATGCGAGAGACGAAAGTGGAGCCCGACGTCATCTTTGCGCGGGGCACTCAGCGCGGCCGACACGGATTTTCTGGGCCGCGGCCTTGGCGCAGGGCCAGTCTGGGGCCCAAGCTCCAGGCGCCTCGCAGCGGGTCCCCAGCGCCTTCAGGGAGGAGGAGGAGGAGGAGGAGGAGGAGGAGGAGGAGGAGGAGGAGGAGGAGGAGGAGGAACAGGAGGAGGAGGAGGAGGAGAAGGAGGGGGGGAGGGGGAGGGGGAGAGGGAGGAGGAGGGAAAGGTGGAGGAGGAAAAGCCAGGTGCGCTTGCGTCATATCTGACGTCCTACCCCTCCCACCCATCCCTTACCATGGCGTAGATATCCTTTGTGTTCGCACAGTCGGATGTCGAGCAGGGCAATGATCGCGATCGGGTACGCGATGCATGCTAGAGCACGGCATGGTACTGCGTAGAAGAGCACGACAGAGCGTAGCATGCCATAGCATGGCGTGGCATTGGGCAGTGAAACATTGCATCACAAGGTATGCAACGCAAAGCAAGGCATCGCACAGCGGCGCAGGACGCAACACCGCACAGCCGTCATAGCATGCCGCCGGGTTCTTTGGAGGGTACGTGGGTAGTCTTGGAGAGGTCTGGGCTGGTCTGGAGTCGCGGCTCCATGTCTAGCTCCGTGGGCTCTCCGACAAGCTCCACACAAGGCGGGGCTGATGGAGAGCACCCGCTGGCTCTGCTTCCAACATTGCCTTCTCAAAGCAGAAACGGGGCTTCTGCTTGATACGTCCTGAAGACGGCGACGCCCCAAAGTGGGAGGGCTTCTGTGGCCCAGACAATTAACGAATCGACGCCGAATGTGTGATCACTTCTGACGGTTTTTCGTTTTCCTTTTGATTTTGGGGCCGATGTGGAAGGACCAACAACGCCCGCGCTGCAGCGGGAGCACGATTTTGAACAACCAAAGGCGCAAAAATGGGGCCAGCGCTTCACCGGGAGCCGCATTTTGACACAAACACCCAAGCGAAAACCCATTTCCCAGGAATCTGGTGTGTAAAAAGCCAGTGCGCGGAGGGGGGCCGGATGTCTCCCGGACGTCATCAGGGGAGAGCAAAGTCGTATTCGTATTGTGCAACTGTGGAGGACGAGGAGAAGGAGGAGGAGGAGGAGGAGGAGGAGGAGGAGGAGGAGGAGGAGGAGGAGGAACAGGAGGAGGAGAGGAGGAGGAGGAGGAGGAGGAGGAGGAGGAGGAGGAGGAGGAGGAGGAGGAGGAGGAGGAGGGCCTGAGCCTGGAGCTCGGGCCCCTGCGCGCGCGCAACGTGCAGACCCCCTGTGCTCCGACGCCGCGGGGGCACTGCAGCATCGTGGAGAACCTCGGCCAGAGCCCTGGACTCCGTCGTTCTTCGGGGCTCTTGGGAGATAGCTTTTCGGGTGTTTGCGGCCTCTGGGGGCCCTCGCCGGGCTTTCGGACCGCCAAGAAACGACGCAGGATGAAAAAAACCGTCTCGAGGAAAGGGTCGGGGTTTCTGGGGACCGCGTATTGAAGAAATCAGGGCGTCGCGTGTCTGTGGGTCCAGGGTCCATGCAAACGGGGGTCAGTCAGAGCGCCGGATCTTGCAGGCTCCTGCAGAGCCAGGGGCGCACCTGCCCACCCAGGCTTGGGTGCAGGATCCTGCAGGATCCTGCGGGATCCTGCAGGATCCTGCAAGGCCTGACCTGACCCGGGTTTGCATTGACAGGGGTCGGCAGATCCCCATCCTTCCGCGGCATCTCTTGAGCCGGATCGGTCCGTGAGGGCCTCCGGGCGAGAAGCAGGGCGGAATCGCCCGCTGCGAAACCTGTGGGGCGCCTGGATCTCGGGGGGGTGCGGTGGCGGCGGGATCTCGGGCTGTGGGGCCAGGGCAGCGCTTCGTGGCCCCATAGGGAGCTCCACCGAAGGCCCCAGTGGGGGTGCCCGCATGCGGTTCCCCCACCCAGGACAGCGTTTCGTGGCCCCATAGGGAGCTCCACCGAAGGCCCCAGTGGGGGTGTTCGCATGCGGTTCCCCCACCCAGGGCAGCGTTTCGTGGCCCCATAGGGAGCTCCACCGAAGGCCCCAGTGGGGGTGTTCGCATGCGGTTCCCCCACCCAGGGCAGCGTTTCGTAGCCCCATAGGGAGCTCCACCGAAGGCCCCAGTGGGGGTGTTCGCATGCGGTTCCCCCACCCAGGGCAGCGTTTCGTGGCCCCATAGGGAGCTCCACCGAAGGCCCCAGTGGGGGTGTTCGCATGCGGCTCCCCACCCAGGGCAGCGTTTCGTGGCCCCATAGGGAGCTCCACCGAAGGCCCCAGTGGGGGTGTTCGCATGCGGTTCCCCACCCCAGCGTTTCGTAGCCCCATAGGGAGCTCCACCGAAGGCCCCAGTGGGGGTGATGCGGTTCCCCCACCCAGGGCAGCGTTTCCCCCATAGGGAGCGAAGGCCCAGTGGGGGTGTTCGCATGCATCGGTTCCCCCACCCAGGGCAGCGTTTCGTGGCCCCATAGGGAGCTCCACCGAAGGCCCCAGTGGGGGTGTCCGCATGCGGTTCCCCCACCCAGGACAGCGTTTCGTGGCCCCATAGGGAGCTCCACCGAAGGCCCCAGTGGGGGTGTTCGCATGCGGTTCCCCCACCCAGGGCAGCGTTTCGTGGCCCCAGCTCCACCGAAGGCCCCAGTGGGGGTGCATGCGGTTCCCCCACCCAGCCGTGGCCCCATAGGGGCTCCACCCCAGTGGGGGTGTTCGCATGCGGTTCCCCCACCCAGGGCAGCGTTTCGTGGCCCCATAGGGAGCTCCACCGAAGGCCCCAGTGGGGGTGTTCGCATGCGGTTCCCCCACCCAGGGCAGCGTTTCGTAGCCCCATAGGGAGCTCCACCGAAGGCCCCAGTGGGGGTGTTCGCATGCGGTTCCCCCACCCAGGGCAGCGTTTCGTGGCCCCATAGGGAGCTCCACCGAAGGCCCCAGTGGGGGTGTTCGCATGCGGTTCCCCCACCCAGGGCAGCGTTTCGTGGCCCCATAGGGAGCTCCACCGAAGGCCCCAGTGGGGGTGTTCGCATGCGGTTCCCCCACCCAGGGCAGCGCTTCGTAGCCCCATAGGGAGCTCCACCGAAGGCCCCAGTGGGGGTGTTCGCATGCGGTTCCCCCACCCAGGGCAGCGTTTCGTGGCCCCATAGGGAGCTCCACCGAAGGCCCCAGTGGGGGTGTTCGCATGCGGTCCCCCACCCAGGGCAGCGTTTCGTAGCCCCATAGGGAGCTAGGCCCCAGTGGGGGTGTTCGCATGCGGTTCCCCCACCCAGGGCAGACCATAGGGAGCTCCAACCGAAGGCCCCAGTGGGGGTGCCGCATGCGGTTCCCCCACCCAGGGACAGCGTTTCGTGGCCCCATAGGGAGTCCACCGAAGGCCCCAGTGGGGGTGCCCGCATGCGGTTCCCCCACCCAGGGCAGCGTTTCGTGGCCCCATAGGGAGCTCCACCGAAGGCCCCAGTGGGGGTGTTCGCATGCGGTTCCCCCACCCAGGGCAGCGTTTCGTAGCCCCATAGGGAGCTCCACCGAAGGCCCCAGTGGGGGGTGTTCGCATGCGGTTCCCCCACCCAGGGCAGCGTTTCGTGGCCCCATAGGGAGCTCCACCGAAGGCCCCAGTGGGGGTGTTCGCATGCGGTTCCCCCACCCAGGGCAGCGTTTCGTAGCCCCATAGGGAGCTCCACCGAAGGCCCCAGTGGGGGTGTTCGCATGCGGTTCCCCCACCCAGGGCAGCGTTTCGTGGCCCCATAGGGAGCTCCACCGAAGGCCCCAGTGGGGGTGTTCGCATGCGGTTCCCCCACCCAGGGCAGCGTTTCGTGGCCCCATAGGGAGCTCCACCGAAGGCCCCAGTGGGGGTGTTCGCATGCGGTTCCCCTACCCAGGGCAGCGTTTCGTGGCCCCATAGGGAGCTCCACCGAAGGCCCCAGTGGGGGTTGTCGCATGCGGTTCCCCCACCCAGGGCAGCGTTTCGTGGCCCCATTCCCAGCTGAAGGCCCCAGTGGGGGTGTTCGCATGCGGTTCCCCCACCCAGGGCAGCGTTTCGTAGCCCCATAGGGAGCTCCACCGAAGGCCCCAGTGGGGGTGTTCGCATGCGGTTCCCCCACCCAGGGCAGCGTTTCGTGGCCCCATAGGGAGCTCCACCGAAGGCCCCAGTGGGGGTGTTCGCATGCGGTTCCCCCACCCAGGGCAGCGTTTCGTGGCCCCATAGGGAGCTCCACCGAAGGCCCCAGTGGGGGTGTTCGCATGCGGTTCCCCCACCCAGGGCAGCGTTTCGTGGCCCCATAGGGAGCTCCACCGAAGGCCCCAGTGGGGGAGTTCGCATGCGGTTCCCCCACCCAGGGCAGCGTTTCGTAGCCCCATAGGGAGCTCCACCGAAGGCCCCAGTGGGGGTGTTCGCATGCGGTTCCCCCACCCAGGGCAGCGTTTCGTGGCCCCATAGGGAGCTCCACCGAAGGCCCCAGTGGGGGTGTTCGCATGCGGTTCCCCCACCCAGGGCAGCGTTTCGTGGCCCCATAGGGAGCTCCACCGAAGGCCCCAGTGGGGGTGTTCGCATGCGGTTCCCCACCCAGGGCAGCGTTTCGTGGCCCCATAGGGAGCTCCACCGAAGGCCCCGTGGGGGTGCCCGCATGCGGTTTCAGCGTTTCGTGGCCCCATAGGAGCTCCACCGAAGGCCCCAGTGGGGGTGCCCGCATGCGCCCCAGTTCCCCCACCCAGGACAGTGTTTCGTGGCCCCATAGGGAGCTCCACCGAAGGCCCCAGTGGGGGTGTTCGCATGCGGTTCCCCCACCCAGGACAGTGTTTCGTGGCCCCATAGGGAGCTCCACCGAAGGCCCCAGTGGGGGTGTTCGCATGCGGTTCCCCCACCCAGGGCAGCTTTTCGTTGCCACATAGGGAGCTCCACCGAAGGCGCCAGAGGCGCAGTTCGCATGCGTCGCCCCCACCCATGACAGCGCTTCGTGGCCCCATAAGGAGCTCCAGCGAAGGTCCCAATGGTGCAGTTCGCATGCGTCTCCCTCGC